AGGCCGTGCTCGGCGGCTTCGGGCCCCGCGACGGCGGCGCGATCGGCGCGCGCGCCGTCGAGGGCAAGGGCGCGGACCTCGTCGCCGCCGGCGTCGACGACGAGGCCGGCGCGGCGCGCGAGATCGCCGAGTTCGCGCGCGCCGTCGTCGGCGACTGGGGCGAGGGCGGCCGGGGCCGCGCCGAGGCGGGCGTCGCGGACGTCCGCGCGACGGAGCTGCCGCTCTGGGCGCCGGCCCTGGGGCTCAGCGGCGTCGCCGACGCCGTCGTCGCCGGAGACGACGGGTTGCCGCGGCCGCTGGAGCTCAAGACGGGCCGGCGGAGCGTCGAGCACCGCGCGCAGACCGCTCTCTACGTCGCCATGGTCAAGTGCCTCCGCGGCGCCGGTAGCGCCGCGGACGCGGGGTTGCTGGTCTACGCGGGCGACCGCCGCGTCGCGAACGCGCCGTCGACGTCCGAGGCCGTGGCGGTGTCGCGCGCGGAGCTCACGTCGCTGCTCGCGGCGCGGAACCGTTTAGCCGCCGTCGTCCACCGGTCCGCCGCGGCCGCGAGGGCCGCGGAGCGCGCCTTCCGGGACGACGCGGGCGCCGCCTACGCGCGGGCCGCGGCGCCGGACCTGCTGCGGAGCGAGCGCGACTGCGGCCGCTGCTTCGCGCTCCGCCAGTGCAGCCTGCGCCACGCGTGCGTCGAGGGCGGCGACGCCGACTCCTTCGGCGCGGGCGCCGACGCCTGGAAAGGCGTCGCGGACCTCGACGGCCGCGACAAGGCGTACTACGCGACGTGGGACGCGCTCCTCGACCTCGAGGCCGCCAAGGGCGCGTCGGGCGCCGCGCTCGTGACGTCGCGGGGCGGCGCGGACCGCGAGGCCAAGGGCGACGCGTGCGTCGCCGGGCTGACGTGGCGGAGCTCGGCGGCGCGCGCCGACGGCTCCGGCGACGTCGACCACGCGTTGGACCGCGCCGCCGGCGTCGCGCCCACCGGGGAGGCGCGCCTGAGCTCGCTCGAGCGCCACGACTTCGTATTGGTGAGCGCGGAGCGACCGGGCCTGCCGCCGACGGTGCTCGGCCGCGCCTACGTGACGCGCGTCGACGCGGCCGCGGGCGCCGCCGGCGCCGCGGCCGTCGGCCTGCGCACGCGGGGGCCCCTGGCCCTGCCGGACTGGGGCGACGCGCCATTTACGCTCCGCGTGGACAAGGACGAGAGCGGCTCGAGCCTGTCGGCCGCGCGGGGTGTGCTCGCGCGGCTCTTCGCCGAGGATCCGCGGGACGCGCCCGACGGCGACGGCGCGCCGCGGCGGCGGCGGCTCCGGGACCTCGTCGTGCGCCTCGAGGCGCCGACCTTCGACGCGGCGCTCGGCGCCGCGCGGCTCCGCGAGGCCGTCGCGGGCGAGGGCCCCGTGCGCGCGCGCCGCGGCGGCGACGGCTGCGCCGCCGCCGCGCTCGGTTCGGCGTTCGCGGCGCTCAACGGCGACCAGCGCCGCGCCGCGGAGCTGGCCCTCGGCGCGCCGACTACGGCCTCGTCCTCGGCATGCCGGGGACGGGCAAGACGTCGACCGTGGAGTTCGTCGTGCGCTGCTTCGTCGCCGCGGGTCTACGGGTCCTCGTCGCGTCCTACTCGCACGCCGCCGTGGACCACCTCCTCGAGAAGCTGTTGGACAGCGGCGTCAGCGAGCGCTGCGTCGCGCGCGTCGCGGCGCCGTCCGCGGCGGAGCGCGTCGCGCCGCGGCTCCGGGGCCACGTCGTCGGCCGGCCCGGCTTCGACTCCGTGCCCCACATCCGCGGCGCGCTCCAGGCCGCGCGCGTCGTCGGCGCGACGTGCATGGCCTGCGCCAAGGGCGGCGTTTTAGCGTCGGCGACGGACTTCGACGTCGCCGTCGTCGACGAGGCGGGCCAGATCGCGCAGCCCTACTGCCTCGCGCCGCTCCTCAAGGCGAAGACCTTCGTGCTCGTCGGCGACCACCACCAGCTCGCGCCCCTCGTCCAGAGCCGCCTCGCGGCGCGCGACGGCGCCGCCGAGAGTTTGTTCAAGCGGCTCGCGGACGCGCGCCCGGAGGCCGTCGCGACGCTCGCGACGCAGTACCGCATGAGCGCGCCCATCATGGAGCTCTGCAACGCGGCTTTAGCCGGGAGCGGGCCCGACGCGCTCGTCTGCGGGTCCGCGGCCGTCGCCGCGCGCGCGCTGCCGCTCGCGCCGCGCGCGCCGGGCGGGCCCGCCTGGCTCGCGGCCGCGGACGAGCCCTGCGCCTTCGTCGACGTGCCGCCGGCCCTCGCCGCGCGCGCGACGGGCGACGGCGGCCGCCTCGGCGCGCGCAACGTCGCCGAGGCGCGCGTCGTCGCGGAGCTCGTCGCGGACCTCCTCGCGCGCGGCTGCGCGCGCGACGACGTCGCCGTGCTCAGCCCCTTCCGGGCGCAGCTCCGCGAGATCGGCGACGCCCTGCGGCGCCGCGGCGCGGCCCTCGAGCCCCACCGCCTCTCGACGGTCGACCGCTTCCAGGGCAAGGACGCGGCCTGCGTCGTGATCTCCTTCGCCAAAGCGAACCCGGACCTGGGCCTCGGCGACCTCCTCGACGACCCGAAGCGCCTCAACGTCGCCCTCTCGCGCGCCAAGGCCAAGCTCGTCCTCGTCGGCGCCGCCGACGTCCTCGCGGCCAAGTCCGACGTCTTCGCCAGGCTCGCCGCCAAGGCGCGGCGCGACGGGCGGCTCTTCGTCGTCGGGGAGCGGGATCTAAGCTAGGGAATCATCGTCGGCGCCTTCCTCTGGAGTAAGAGCGCTGCGCGATCAGCGGTGTGGGCCACTGGCAGGCGAGAGCGTGGGTACCCGGGTGTAAGTACACGCTGCCAGTGATGTTCCGCGCGTCCTCGCGTCCCAGGTTCGCTACGAGGTTCGCTCGGCCCCCGCGCCCGCAGGGTCCGACCGTGACCCGAAGGGGGGCTGTATCACATGCGTCTTACTTGTCGACGAGACGAGTTCAGACATCGCGCTCGCCGCGCCAGAATTTGAACGCGTGGATGAAGACGTCCTCGGGGATCTCGACGAAGAGGCGCTCGTGCAGGCGGACGCTCGACAGCGACGCGCGGCCGCTCTCGCGGAGCGCGGGTAGCTCCCGGCGGAGCGCGAGGAGCTGGGTCCGGGGGACCTGGACGTAGGCCGCCCAGCCGCCGGCCGTGCGGACGGCGGCGAGGAAGTCGGCCGTGGTCAGCTGATTGTGGAATCGCGAGCAGGCCTCGGCGTCTATGCCCCAGCGAGAGCGAGCGTCGAGCGACGCGCCGCGGCTCACGAGGAGCTTGCACATCTCGCGACGTCCGCCGCTGGCAGCCAGGTGGAGAGCGGTCCTCGAGTAGTGATCACGCGCATCGACTCGCGCGCCTGCGTCGAGCAGGAGGACCGCTGCGTCGCATTGGACCCCATAAGCGGCGTATTGTACAGGTGTTTTCTCCACGAGATCCGTCGCTTCCACGTTAGCGCCGTGGTCTAGGAGCCATCGCATGGCGGAACACCATCCGCAGCGCGCCGCATGATGCAGGCGCGGGGCGTCCCAGCCTCCGTAGTCAATGACAGCATCGAGGTCGCGGCCCTCACCGGAGCCGTACCACTCCCGCGTCTTCTCGAGGAAGGCCACACCCTCGTCGTTGTCCATGCTGATCCGCCGATCCGCTTATCCTATTTTTGCGAAGTTGAAGCAAAAATCACAATGATGAACTAATCTGCGAGCATGGCAATCAATCATTGAGCGAGAGCGCCGTCGCGGCCTCGAGGCGCTCGTAGTAGTGCCGCGCTTTTTCAGCCCATGCATGCGCTCCTCCTGTTCGCCCTGTGCGGGACTGCGCGCGCCAATGTCTGGCCCATGCCGGCCAAGTTTGCCAATGGCAGCTCCGTCGCAACCGTCGACCCGGCGAAGATGCAGCTCTTCGCGGACGGCAACGACACGGCCATGGTCAAGGCCGAGCTCGCGGTCGCCTTCGAGCGCTTCCAGCGCAACGCCTTTCCGCACGCCGGCGCGAAGTCGAGCGCCGGCGCGGTCGGCGCCGTACGTCCGCGGCGTCCGCGCGCGCGCGCGCGCCGCTTGGGACAGGCACCACGTATCGTAGGTCGAAGTCACGGTCAAAGACGGCGCCGCGGATCTGCAGCTGGGCGTGAGCGAGGCCTACGAGCTCGACGTGCCGGCGACGTTCTACTCGTCCGGCAGCGCCGTCGCGACGATACAGGCCGACACGGTCTTCGGCGCCTACCGCGGCCTCGAGACGCTCAGCCAGCTCATCCGCTTCGACTTTGGGTCGTCCTCCTACGTCGTCGACGGCGCGCCGATCAAAATCTCCGACGCGCCGCGGTTCCCGCACCGGGAGATCCTCCTCGACTCCGCGCGCCACTACGAGCCCGTGCGCGTCATCGAAGCCATCCTCGACTCGCTCGCCTACGCCAAGTTGAATACCCTGCATTGGCACATCTCCGACAGCCAATCGTTCCCGTTCGTCGCGCCGTCCCATCCCGAGCTCGCCGAGGCCGCCGCGTTCTCGCCCGGGGAGCGGTACACGGCGGGCGACGTCGCCGCCGTCGTCGCCTACGCGCGGTCCTTGGGAATTCGAGTCGTCGTCGAGGTCGACACGCCGGGCCACGCCGCGTCGTTTTGCAAGTCGAACCCGGACGTCTGCCCGGCCCCCGACTGCCCCGAGCCACTCCTCCTTTCGAACAAGACCTTCGAGCTCATCGGCGACATCTTTGCGGACTTCGCCGCGGTGACGACGGACGAAATTTTCCACCTCGGCGGCGACGAGGTCCGCTACGACTGCTGGAACAAGTCGGACGCCATGAAGGCGTGGATGGCGGCGGAGAAGCTCGCGACCTTCGACGACGCCTACGCCTACGCGGTCCAGCGCGTCGCGGCGGGCGTCAAGGCGGCCCATGGTCGGGCGGCGATCGTCTGGGGCGAGGCGTGGGACACGTTTGGCCCGTCGATGCCCAAGAGCACTATATTCGACTTTTGGCTGGGCGGCGGCGTTTCCGCGCGCGGCGTCGCGAACGCGACGAGCCACGGCTATCGCGTCCTTTGGAACGTCGGCCGCGGCTCGAACGTGGGCTCCTGGCGCGTCGCCCGGCGCGTACGAAAGCTTCGTCGCTTATTTTTCGAGGTAGGTATCTGGACTCGCTGATTACGACGTGGGATACCATGTACGCCCGCGACCCCTGCACAGGCCTCACGACGCAGCAGTGCGCGCTCGTCTTGGGAGGCGGAGGAGAGATGCGAGTTCCCCCCGCGCCCCCGACGCCAGGCGCGGCGCGCGACCGCCCCTCGGCGTCGCAGGTGGGGCGAGACGGCGGATCCGTCGGATATCATGCAAACGCTGTGGCCGCGCCTCGCGGCCATCGCCGAGGTGCTCTGGTCGCCGCCGCACGGCGCGAACGCGACGGCGGCCGCGCTGCCGCGCCTCGAGGCGTTCCGCTGCGTCCTCGAGGAGCGCGGCGTCGCCGCGGCGCCCGTCTCGAACCCGCTCGCGCGCGCGGCGCCCGAGGGGCCCGGGAGCTGCCGCTCCCAGTGACCGCGGCCGGACCATTTTAAACTCATTATGCTATCGCCCCACCCGGAAGACGCCGAGCTCGACGGCGACGCGCGGCGGGAGGACGAAGTCGAGGGGCGTCGCCGCGCGCGGCCGCGCGACGTCGAGCGACCCCGAGGCCTCGACGAGAACCCCGGGGCCGAAGGCCATGTCCTGGGCCGCGGCCTCGAGCTTCGTCGCGTTGTCCAGGCCGCCCGCGGCGCTGATGGCGACGTCGACGAACGTGCCGTTGGCGATGACGAACCACGAGTAACCGCGAGCTCGTGCAGCACCGCGCCCATGGGCCGCGGCGATTCCCCAAAATGAAAGAGCTTCGCCACGAAGGACGTCTGGCCCCGCGGCGTGCGCGCCACCCTCGGCAGCGGGCAGACGATGACGCCGAGGTCCGCCGCGCGCGTCCGCCAGACGACCGCGCGAACCGGTAGCGTGTTGGGCGCGACGACGTCGCCCGTCACGGCCATGTAGAGCTTGTCGGGCTTGTAGTCGCGCTTGCCGCTCCGATATCGCTCGTCGTCTCCCAAAGCCGCGCGCCAGGCGCCGTGGAAGGAGAAGATGCGGTCCGTGAAGCGCACCTCGGACGTGAACGCGGCCTCGTCGTAGCTGAAGTAGTCGCGGAACTCGCCCGTGCCGTCCCAGGCGTCGTCGAAGCCGAGGCGATAGGCCTCGTAGCCCGACGGCCGGCCGTGGGTCTCGTAGTAGTGCTTTACGTCCGGCGGCACGAAGCCGAGGAGGCCCAGCGCGTCCGCGACTTTGAGCGTCGACTGCACCGCGGACTCGAGCTCGAGCGCGGCCCACTTGGCCGAGCCCTCATCCTCCGGCCCGGCGTAGGTGCCGTTGTAGACGGCGTTGAGCGTCGCGGTCATGGAGAGGAAGGGGAGCATGTAGAAGGGGTCCTCGTGGATCGTCGCCGCGGCCTGTAGAGCGTGCATGAGGTTCTCGACCTGCGCGGGGAAGGCGAAGACGCCCGGCATGATGTGGCAGCCCGGCGACCACCAGTTGTTTCCGTAGCCCCCCGCCTCCGTGAGCTTGCCCTCGCGGAGGCCGAGCGCCGCGTGGCAGATCGCCAAGACGGCGCCGACGGTCGCCAGGAGCGCGGCGAGCGCGTCCGCGGTGAAGAGGCGCCGCAGGTAGGGCCGGAGCCACGCGGGCGACTCGTCGACGACCGTCGTCGCGAGCAATTCGGCCAGGCCCATCTTCGCGCGCACGAGCGTCTTCGACCGCCGCCTCGCGCGCGCCGCCGCGCGCTTCGTCACGAGGACCGTCCGCAGCGTGAGCTTCGGCGCCTCCGGGGCCTCCGGCGCGACGCGCGCGCCCCGGAGGCTCTCGCGCCTCAGGCCCTCGCGCCGCTGGTAGATCGCCTCCGCGCGCCGGAGGCACGCGCGGAAGAGCCCCCGCCACTTCGCGGTGACGAGGACGCCCAGCGCCGCCCCGAAGAACAAAAGCCCGATCAGATCGACGCCCGTCTCGCGCTCGAGCCAGAGCGGCGCGTCCGGGCAGTACTGGGCCGACGGGATGACGCCCGGGGGCTTGCCGTTCTCGCCCCGGAGGCTCGCGTCGACCCAGCCCCGGAGCCAGTCCGTCACCGTGCGGTTCAGCAGCGCGCGCACCTCGCGCTGCTCGTCGCGGACGGGGCTCCGCGACAGCTCCAGCAGCAGCCCCAACGCCGGCTGGATCGCGCGGACGTGGTACGCCAACGAACACGAGAAGGGGTAGAAGTCGAGCGCGTAGCCGTGGCCCGACGCGATCCACGACGACCGGACGACGTGCGTCTTGGCGCCGCTCTTCGTTTCGCGCTCGACGAGCCAGTGGGCGTCCTGGAGCGCGCCGATCCTGGCCGCGATGGTCCGCCACGCGTTCGCGGAGTCGTCGTCGTAAGAGGCGCCCCAGTTGATGAGCTGCATGGGCCAGACCGTGTCCGCGGACGGCTCCGCGGAGTGCTCGACGTCGGACATGTGGTCGCTGTAGCCCCGGCGCATGGACGACTTGCCGTGGACGCTCCGCGAGACGCGCTCCCAGCCGGCCTTGTAGCGGTAAAAGTCGAAGCCGAGGAGCAAGGCCTTGAACTTGCGCCAGGCCTCGACGTCGTCGCCCCAGCCGCCGCCGAAGGACCCGTCGGGGTCCTGGCGGTCCTCGAACCAGTAGAGCATGACGTCCTCCAGGTGCTCGAGCGCGAAGCGCGTGTCCGCGGCCCAGTCGGGCGCCCACGCGACGTCGCGCGCGCCGTCGCCCGCCGCGCGACCGAGCCGGGGGCACGGCGCCGCGTAGGAGTCCGGCAGGCTCGCGTTCGCGCCCGCGAGGGGCCAGGGCCGGCAGCGGCCCGCGTAGAGGTCGAGGACGGGCGCTCTTGGGTACGCTTCGCGCGCGACTCTCAGCAGCCGCCGCGCCTCGCCGAGGGGCAGGGCGTACTCGACGTGGTTCTGGGCGAGCATGTAGAGGCACCAGAGCGGGTAGAGCGCGCTGCCCTCGAGCTGGGGCGGCGGGAACGTCGGGAGATAAGCGACCACTCTTGTCGTCCACCAGCCCGCGAGGTAGCCGTTCTCGCCCTCCGTGAACGTCAGCGGCATGGGCACCTTGCCCCGGGACCCGCGGCGCTGGGCCCAGTCGAGGGCCGTCGGCAGGAGGCGCTCGAGCTGGCGCCGCGCGCACGCGTCGCCGCCCGCGAGCTCCCGGCGGAGCGCCCGGAGCCGCGCCGCGCGCAAACCGTCCGTCGCCGCGTTCCCCGCGTCCCGCAGGAGGTCCGCCGCGGCGGGCGACAACGTGTCGTCGCAGCCCCAGGCCTCGAGCGACGGCCCGAGCCAGATCGTCGCCTCGCCGAGGCCCGCGGCGACCAAGAGGAAGACCGCGGCGCCCGCGACGGCCGCCGCCGCGCGCCGGCCGACGAGCTCGATCTGCCGCCGGTCGCCGCAGCAGCCGTCGCCGGTTTCGAAGCGCACGTCCTTGAGGCGCTCCTCCGTGCGCCTCACCTCCGCGAGGTTCCGCGCGCGCGCGCGCGCGACGAGCTCGCGCCTGCGTGGAAATCAATCAGTGAGCTGGGTTATCCCAAACTTGAGAATTCCCTAGCTCGGCCAAATCGAAGTCGATTCGGCTGATTTTTGGACGAATCGATTGCTCTCACCAAGTTCTCGAAGCACATAAGAAGACCTTGCGTCGAAACTGTCAAATACGCTCACATTGAAGTCGGGTTGAATATTTTTGTTTCCTGCCCTGGCTCCCGCGCGAAGCGTTTCACGCGGAAGAACGACGGCAGGGACAGCGCGGGCTTCTTCTCGTCGAGGCGCCGCTTCGACGCCTTGGCGCGCCGCGCGAAGCGCTTCACGCCGAAGACCGCGAGGAGCGAGAAGGACGGCGCCGCGGCGCCGTCCGCGGGAGCGCCGTCGTCCGCCGCCGCGTAGGCCGCGCGCCGCGCCGCGAGGAAGCGGCCGAGCGCCGCGAGCGGATCCCGGGGCGCGAGGCGCGCGCGCGCGAGCTCCTCGTAGGCCGCGGGCCCCAGACCGACGGGCGCCGCGAGCCAGCGCAGGCCCATGCCGAGCTTCCACGAGAGCGGCGGCAGCGACGGCGGGACGTACCAGGCCAGGTACCAGACGCCGTGCGTCCCGAGGAGCGACAGGCCGCCGAGCGCCGCCAGCGTGAAGAAGGCCGACGCCCAGCGCGCGCGCCGGCCCAGCAGGTGCGCGCCGTAGAGCAGGTCGTCGACGGCCTCGGTCGCCGCGGCCTCGAGACCGCGCGCCGCGTCGTCGGCCAGGTCCTCGGCGATCTCGCAGACGTCGCCGGCCAGGTGCCTCGCGTCGCCCTCGAGCCGCTTGAGGGACGCCATCGTCGGCGAGTGCTGCGCCTTCGCGCTGGACAGCGCGGCGACGCGCGCGTCGGCGTCGTCGTCGGCGGCGTCGGCGTCGACGACGACCGTGCCGTCGCACGGCGGCGCCGGCGGCGCCGGCGGCGCGTCGCCAAACGCCTCGAGCGGCGTCTCCTCCATGAGTGTGGTGGTTAGCCCATTGGATGGTGCGGGCCTCGGCCGCGGCGGCGCGAGAAGGCGTTCAGGAACATCACCATGGGCTGGCCCGGCAGTAACAAATCTTCGCAACAGGATCAACAACGACCGGAACAACCAGTATGGAGGCGTGCTGCGCTAGCCGTACGAGGCGATCGGCGGCCGCCTGAGCTGCCTACGCGCCTCGACACCTCGCGCGTCGCGTCGAGCATGCCGCGCGCCGCTGTTGCGTGGCTCGTCATTGCGCTCTTGCAGCAGCGCGTTAGAGCTTTGGGCCTCTTCCAGGGCCTCGTCGACGTCGAGCCGACGCAGCTCCAGCAGTGGGCCCGCGTCGACATCGGACGCCGCCAGTCGGAGCTGGTCGCCCTGGGCTGGCTCGGCCGGGCCTATCGCGTCGCGCCGGCCGCCGTCGACGCGGCGCTGCCGGACGTGTTCGCCTTCGAGCGCTACGACGGCCAGGATTGGCTTGCGACCGGCGACGGCGTCGCGTGCACGGTGAAGTTCGGCACCGCCGTCGTGCCGCGCGGCGTGCCGCTGTCGCTGCGGCTCGGCCTCGCCGGCGGCGTTGTGGACTCGGCGCGCGTCGCCGCGGTCGGTCCGGACCTCTTTCCCGACGACGTCGACGGCGAAGCGCTCGCCGACGCGGACGCCGAGCGCCTCTGCACGCAGCTCAACGGCGACGGACGGCGCCTCGTCGTCGACGCGATTTGTGCCACGGTGTTCCAAACGCTCGCGCCGGCGCTCAAGCGGCGCGACGCGCCGCTCGTGGCGCTCGGGCCGCCGCGCGCGTTCGCGCCGCGCCACGACCTCTTCGCGCGCGAGGGCACGAGCGAGAAGTGGCTCCAGTGCGTGTCGGAGTACTACTTCGCCGACGCGCAGCTGCAGGAGGTCGCCCTCGGCGGCGAGGGCCCGAGCTTCGTCTTCTACTTCGACCCATCGGAGCCGCCGAACTCGGCGAATCCGACGCGCAACGTGAACCCCGAGGTCCTGTGCTGTAAGTTTCGATAGTGTGGTCCTGAAGGTGACGGGGCTTGTGAGCCCTAGGCCAAAGCCTAGGCCCGGGCCTGCTAAGTGGCCTGCTCAAGAGGTCTGGTTGCCTTTATTTACGGACTTCAACTTGTGCGGTTTAATTAAGAAATCAAGGCCTAGGTCGGTCGACCGAGACGATGGTCAGCTCGGAACGAGTCTTTCTCGACGAAGCGCGGGCGTGGTGCCGAAATGGCGGCGACATCGATGCTCTCGTTCCTAGTCAATTCGGAACTCCATCGACACGCCTGCATCGCGCAGCTAGCCGAGGGTACTGTTCGGCCGTTCGATGGCTCCTGGACCACGGCGCGAACACGGAAGGGGTAGCGACCAACACGGGGGCGACGCCGCTGCACGCCGTCGCTGCTGGGGACCGATGCGACGCAGCGGTCCTCCTGTTGGACGCTGGCGCTCACGTCGGTGCGCGCAATTACCATTCGAATACCCCTCTCCATCATGCTGCCGCCGCCGCCCGAATCGCAATGTGCAAACTCCTCCTCAGCCGCGGCGCGTCGCTCGACGCGCGCAATTGCGAAGGCCAAGACCCTGAGGCCTACGACGCGCGATACACTCCTTACCCGGCCAACGCCGACTTCCTCGCCGACGTCCGCGCGGCCGGCGGCTGGTCCGCGTACGTCGCCGCGCCGCGAAACCAGCTCCTCGCTCTCCGCCGCGAGCTGCCGACGCGCTTCCGCACGGCCCCGTGCCCCGAGCGTGCGCAGGCCCAGCTCTTCCTCGACCCCCGCATCCCCGACGACGTCTTCATCTACACCCTCACGTTCTGGCGCAGCGCGCGCGACTCCGCGTACTAATTAGGCGATCCGGTCGAAGCCGCCCTTGCCGCCCAGCACCCGCCCGCCGCTCGTATTCGGTCGCTTCGTCTTCTCCGGCGTCTTCGTCGCGATGATGCGGTTCGCGGTGCCCGGCCGCTGCGCGGACTTTGGGCGGAAGGACGGCGGCGCCGCCGGCTGCCGGTCGTGGGACGCCTTGGGCGTCGACGCCTCGGCGTCGCCGCCGCGGCGCTTCGACGAGCCGCGGCCGCGCGAGCCCATGGAGTAGCCGCGGGCCGCGAGGTTCGACTCGATGGCCTGGCGGCTCTGGAAGGCCGTGAGCTGGTGGCGGCAGCTCAGGTACTCCTCGTGGGACCGCTCGACGACCTCGTGGAGCTTCGCCTCGGCCATGCCGAGCTCCTCGCGCAGCAGCCGCCGCCGGCGCACGCGCTCGCCGAGGCGCGCGGCGAGCGCGTCGTGCTGCCGCTCGAAGTCGGCGAGCTGGATCTCGATCTTGCGCAGCTCCTTGGCCTCCTGGGCCATGACCTTGCCCATGGTCATGCGCCGCTTCTCGTAGACCGCCGCCGTCTTTTGGAGCGCGCGGCTCCGGATCTCGGCGATCTCGCCCATCTTGTCGCCCGCCATCTGCATGTCGTTCTTCCCGGGCAGCACGGACTTACGCCGCGCGCCGCCCATCGGCCGGGAGCGGCGGCGGCGCGAAGGGCAGGGAGCGAGGCTAGGCTGACACGCGCGTCTGAGGCATCACGACTCGCTCTGCGGGCCGTTTTGGGCAGCGTCGATGAAGCCGAAATCGCCCCTCAAGAATCTCAAGTTGCAGCGGGCAGCCGACGATGGGAGACGAATCCGGGCCCTCGCCGTGACCGTCGCGCGGTCGGCGCCGGACGTCGTCCACCGGTCAAAAGGGCGTCACGTCGACGCGCCGTCGGGCGGCGTACAGAACGATGGGCGTGCGCGCGGCCTTCGCGGCGACGGCGGCGGCGGGCCTCGCCTTCTACCTCTGGCAGCGGCGGCAGCGGCGGCGCTACCTCGGCGAGAGCCGCGAGTACACGGAGACGGCCATCGCGAGCGCGCTCCGCCGCGTGCCCGCGCGCGAGGCCCCGCCGGCCGACGCGACGTGCTACGTGTGCCTCGACGGGGCCGAGCGCGCGCCGCTCCACCGCGACTGCGCGTGCCGCGGGTCGTCGGGCTGGGCCCACGTCGAGTGCCTCGCCGACGCGGGCAAGGCGAACGTGGACAACGCGTTCCTGTGCGGCATGTGCCGGAGCCTCTTCCAGGGCGCGGTGCAGCTCCGCCTCGCGCGCGCGCTCTGGCGCGCCAAGGCCGGCGAGGGCCGCGGCGCGCGCCTCGCGACGTCTATGGTCGCCGGCGCGCTGCTCCAGCACGGCGAGACGGCCGAGGCGCTCCGGCTCATGGAGCGCCTCGCGCGCGAGCCCACGGGCGACGCCGTCGAGGGCTTCCGCGTGGACCTGCAGCTCGCGACGGCCCACGACGAGCACGGCGACCCGCGGCGCGCCGAGGCGCTGCTCCGGAGCCTCGTGGGCCGCGCGACGGCGGAGCTCGGCGCCGAGCACCCCATGACGCTGACGGCGTCCGCGACGATGGGCGCGGTGCTGAACCGCCTCGGCGACGACGCCGAGGCGGCGGTCGTGATCCGGTCGACGCTCGGGGCCGCGCAGCACGTGTTCCCCGCCAACGACCCCTTCATCCTCTTCGTCGAGACGACGCTCGCGCACGTCCACGAGAACGAGGGCCGCGACGCGGACGCCGTCGCGCTCTACGAGCGCATCATCGCGGCCCAGAGCCGCAAGCTCGGGCCGAGCCACCCGGCCGTCTTCGTCCTCACGACGAACATGGCCGCGGCGCTGGCCAAGATCGACGGCATGCGCGGCGACGCGGAGCGGCTCCTCCGGGGCGCGTGCTCGCAGCTCGCCGCGGCCTGCGGGCCGGAGCACCCGGACGCGCTCTACGCGCGGAGCAAGCTCGCCTGGTGCGAGACCCACGGCTGGGACCCCGCCGAGCTCCGCCGTAACGTGGACTGGCGGTAGGCTGTCGGATGCCATGGGAGGCATGTGCAAGTTGACTTCAAAATGCCGAAATCGGCGATCAAAAGCACGATGAGCAAGTCGATGAGCGCAAAAACGTCCCTGATCTTCGCCGCCGGCGCCGTCGCCGGCGTCGCGGCGTGGAAGGCGCTGGAGAGACACCTGCGCCAGCGGCTCTACGCGGAGCGCTTCGCGGCGGGCCCGCGGCCTCCTCCCTGGCTGCGCAGGCTCACAAAAGTCGTCCTCGGCGGCGCTTCGAACCCCACGACGGTCGCCGGCGACGCCACGGCCGCGGCGCCGCGCGCGTCGTTGCCGGCGGACGTCGTCCACGAGATGCTGTCGCGCCACGAGGCCTTCTTCGGGAGCGCGGGCCACGACCGCGTCCGCGGCGCGACCGTCGTCGTCTTCGGTTTGGGCGGCGTGGGCAGCCACTGCGCGGTCATGCTCGCGCGCGCCGGCGTCGCGGCGCTGCGGCTCGTGGACTTCGACCACGTGTCCCTGAGCTCGCTGAACCGCCACGCGGTCGCGACGTTGGACGACGTCGGGAGCCCGAAGGCCCGGGTCCTCGCGGACCACGTCGCGAAGGTCGCGCCCTTCGTCGCCGTCGAGGGCCTCCCCCAGATGGTCACGGCGGCCTGCGCCGAGGCCATGCTCGCGCCGGTCCACGGGCGGCCCGTGGACCTCGTCGTCGACTGCATCGACGACGTCGAGACCAAGGCCGCGCTCCTGGAGACGTGCTGCCGGCTGAACATCAAGGCGCTGAGCGCCATGGGCGCGGGCGCCAAGGCGGACCCGACGAAGCTCTGCGTGGCGCCCCTGGCCGACGCCGTCCACGACCCGCTGGCCGTGAAGCTGCGCTGGAAGCTGCGGCAAAGGGGGGTCGACTACGGCGGCGCGGAGCTCGAACCGGGGACCGCGGGCGCGCCGGGCGCGGCGGAGCGCGTCACGTGCGTCTACAGCTACGAGCAGCCGCGCTGCAGCTTGTTGCCGCTGAGCGACGCGCAGGTCGCCGCGGGCGCGAAGAACTTCGGCGCTGTCGACGTCGACCACTCCGCGTGCGCG